TTTCACATGCTGTGATACACAAACATTGCAGGCGCTATTCTTTAAGAAAATTTAGAAGAGACGTAAGACTCTAAATCTATAGGATTCAAGTCATGAGCGTGCAGTTTCTCAATGGTAAAGCATACATCTATCTGAAGCTAAACATAAATCTTTTGCATATAAACATGGAAAAATCAAGCATTATCCAGAAATATTGCAAGCTTAGACGACCATTTAGGTAACAGGAGAATTATTAATCGTGATATTTGGAAAATTTTATGTTTGATCAGACAATGTAAAATTCAATAAATAACATAACATTTATATTGATATTTCCAAAACAAATGAGCAATGTTGTGATGTATATAAGGGTTATTTGGTGTAATACTTAGAGAACATATCCACTAGTGACCAGAGGATGATTCTTCAGCTTGAACACTATCTTTCTGCATGTACTTCATAAAATTTCCCACCCAGCAATGGGATTTTGAATGACTTGTGTGATCTTCTTCAGGCTTAAGTGTTTTCTCCATCAACTTCAGTATTCGTATTTGATGGGGAATTGTTAAGTGAAAATTTCTCTAGACCAGATCGAAATTCTTCAAGGTTTACTCCATCATCAACCAGGATGCTTGTTACTCCCATTTTAGACACCTGAGAAGAATATAACAGTACCAGATCAAGATGGAAGGAAACTTTTGACAACTCAACAAAGAAGTGCTACGATTGAGATGCTATAAAGCATAATTGAAAACAATGTCAGCATAATGGGAAGACATGTTAATTTTCAACAACAAGTGACCATCTTCCCTGGACCTGTTACAGTAGGATACATTGAGGGAGCTGATGCAGCACCTTGGGGTTGTTTTTGTTTGTTTGTTTGTTTTTTATTTTGATTTTTTTTTTGGGGGTGGGGGGTGTCAGCGGCTCACCCTAGCAATATACAGGGAAAAAGCTGATGCAGAAAAAAAATATATGTAAAGCATTTACCGATATGATGTTCCTGTTCTCGTCATCAAAGAAGAGCATTGACTCAAAAGGCACACCGGTTCTCCTATAAATCCTTTCGAAATGCTCTGTCTTGTGGGTCCAACTAGAAAATATTTCCTGCATCAACGAAACCAGTAACTCTTTGTACACAGTGAATTATATGAAGTACGAAGATTATGAAAGTTCTTTTTTCTTGGGAACAAAAATGAAGCAAAACCCTTCCTCCCTCTGACTGAAGTTAGGCTCACATAGAGATACTACTCCCACCCAGTTATGTAGCATGCAGGACTGTGAAGGGTACTCGAAAACCTGATCTGGTTTTTAAGCATAGCAATGGATTTAAGTTGGAATTCAGAACCCGAATTGGATTTCAGACTGGATTTGAATCCTAAATATGAGATCTGAAATCAAATTTCGGTTGGATTTGAATCTAGTGGGTCAAAATCCAAAGCATGAAATCCAACAATATCGCATATACGTATCTGACTAATTTAGGTGTGCACTGTGCACAACTGCACAATTTTTTTTTGGAATCATGACAGATTCAAACTTTTAAATATTCTTAGTGTGCTTTTATCATATACCTAACAGGGGTTGATCTCCTCTTGAGGAAGTGATGCCATGGAACACCACTTCCTCAAAGGGGCTTCTAATACACCACCCATGTATCTCAGTCCAAAGAATGTAATCATGTTCTCAAGTTCACCCAGTGGGCTAAGACATTTCGTTCAATAGGCTGGTAATTCATTTATTAGAGTATCCAGATCCTAGTTCAATTAGCCTTCTACAGCCAAAACTCTCAGATAAAGAGAGACTATATTTTCTAGGGTTTTTTTTTCTCCTAGAAACCACCTTAAATAGGATAATTATATGGGAACCACCTTTCAATTTCAAGTTATACATAAACCATCTTTAAAGTGGGTTTTTGTTGCAATTGACCACCTCTCAGCAAATTTTTTCGCGGAAAACCCAAAATTGCCCTTAAAAACTCACATTCAAGGCACATGATCCTTTTTTTGTGTGTCTAGGTCTTATTAGGATACAACTCCCGTACTTTGAACTTGAATTTTTTAAGCCTATATTTTTGTTTTCAGTGAAAATTTGACTAGTAGATGGTTGATTGCAACAAAAACACAGATAGTTTATTTATGTATAAATTAAAATTGAAAAATGGTTCTAGTATAATTATCCTATTTTAAGGGTGGTTTCTAGGGGGAAAACACAATTTTCTACATTTACTAAACTACATGGTATGCTATAATATTATTAAAGGGACCCAACATATGATGTTCAACAAAACCACAATGACCTATGTCCAATAACCATATCCTGAAATAACTTGTTAGCTCATGTTGGTGATATTCTCGGAAGAACTTAATATTTTCATCCCAGGATTTTCTCCCAAAAAAAGATACAGTGTATTACCAAAGTTTTCTCCATCCCAAAAAACCTCCCCCAACATATGTATCAAGTAACCTATGATTGAAGTTACTAAAGTGCGATTATATGTTTGATAGTGCTACTAAATATATGTTTGATAGTGTTACCAATGATGCAATTATGAACTTTTCTCATAATACAAAAACTTGTTGGGACAGTTATAATTTTTTTAATCATCACTTTTCAGATATAGTGGATCCGCCTCTGATACCTACTAAAATAAGATAAAAGTATAGGGAATCATCATTTAAATTTATCCCATGTGTACCATCTATTACACAGAAACATAAATTTACTCTTCACTTTTCATATACTAGAACTAAACCAAGTCATATTTCACAATGAAGGCCAATCAATTTAACCAAAAGAAGGTTAAATTAAAAGAGGAGAAACGTAACAATAACATTACTAACAAGGAAAATAAAAAACGCAATATAACGTCAGTTTGTCAAGGATTGAAGTAAGCAAGGGACATATTGTTTTTCATAGTTTCGAATGACCGGCATATGGATACCAGGGCTACCTAATGATGCCACAAGAAATTTAAAAATCTATACAGAATCCATGTAAAAAAAAACCCTCAGACTTTTAATCCAAGCCAACTTTGGTCCCATAACACTTAATACTTACATCAAATAAACAATGAGGCCATATGTGCTGAAAATCCATTATCATACAAGTGTACGGAAAAAAGCATGCACTGGGATGGAAAAAAGAATTTTTTTTTTTAATATTATTCCCTAAGGGAGCTCACCTCACCTGTGCCACAAAAATTGACTGAAAACCCAATTTATCAAGGAAAGTTTTTGCTATGTCGGGTGTTGGCGATCTTGAAGCGATTGCCACATCGATTCCTTTATCCTTGAGCGCATATAATATACCCTTAGCATGAGGATATAAAGATGGCATTTCCCTTTTAGAGCGGCATTCACTGGTGGAGGGGAAAAAAAAAAACAGAAACATAATCAACTATCGGAGCAGATATAATAAAGTCCATTCTTTACCGAAATGAAAAGCCCCAATTAGTTGCTTTTCCCAGTCCAGGTCATACAAAATACATGGCATGCCTAAAGCTAAAGGCTACACATAGATTGGGAGAAGAGACGATCAGGAAAAAAAAAGAAAAGAAAAAAAAGAAAATGAAGTTCGCGTAGATTACCAATAGAAAGGCCAGAGGGTGTAGTCGAGATCAAAGACCACCAATCGAGGTAGGGTTTCGAGCTGCCCCATCAGCCTCAGAGCCTCCTCCTTCACCCTCTCCTCCCCCATTCTCTCTCTCTCTCTCTCTCTCTCAAAAGCTTTTGGAGACGACCAGAAGAAGAAGAAAAATATATATATATATATATTCGGCCTTTATTGTCTTGGAGCGGGTCCCACTTCTATTCGCTGCTGGGGTTGTGCAACAGCGCGCAAGTCGCGTGGGAATTACAGAATCTTCTGGGCCTTTAAAGTTGGGCCGGATGGATCTGATCCTGGTGTCTACATACGCAGCGCCCTAAAGCCCTAGCCCGTAGTTCAAGTGGAGTCATCGTCGCCGGCGATTTTTCAAAGAGGTAGTCCAAAATCGTCATTTGGTGGAAGCAAACGGGAGCTCTCTCAAATACTCGTAGCCCTAGCCCCTAAATCCTCTTTGGTGCAATGATGGCTTCGAATAAATTGAAGGGGTCAACATCCAGGATTTCTTCAAAATCATCAAAACCTTTCTCCTCTAACTGCAAGAAACCTTCTTTCTTCGTAAGTAAATTTTGTGTTTTATTTGAAAGTCTATTTGAAAGTCACTTAACCTATACGATTGTCCAAGTTCTTTCTATAGTTTGTGCTTGAGATACATACATGCTTCCAAATATATGTGTAATTGACATGATATTCCATTCATTTCTGATGTTAGGTTCTTTAATCATGTTCCGAGTATGAGTGCTAGAAAATTAAAAATAATTCTTGATCTTAATCCAATTTTTGTTTTCCATCATCTAATTGTTGTATCTTCCATTAAACATATTCTACACAAATGTCCAGCTATATTGTCATTGACCTGTTGGATTAGATGGATTTGTCGAGTACCCAGGATTTTGAGAGTTGAGCATCTATACATTACTCCTTTGTATTTCTCATCTTTCAGCAAAAAAAAAGTATTAACCATTAATATTGAAGCATTATATGATTCATGCTTGAGATGACACCACTCGACCATGGATGTTTAAGAAAAAGTTCAAACCTTAGATTGCATTCTAATGTATCTAAAAAATACTAACATCAACTCCACTTGACCTCTGCGATATATGGATTCTTTATGTTCATGTATTTCTCATCTTTGCAGGAAACATATTCAGTTTATAAAACCATTATAATTGGTTGGATATGGAAGCTACAAACAATCTTGGAAATCTTATAAAATAACCATTTACACATATATCTTGATCATTGCTCGGGACATATTTCATCAACAACATGTGGATAAGAATTTTGCAATTCACTAGTCACCAAATAAAAGGAATCACACAATAAGTAAGTTGTTTACAGTGGTTTTTTGGCAATTTATGACATTTTCAAGCTCCTAGATATTAGTTTTTAACTTGTTTTACGGTATTATAAAAAAATTCATAGATATTTCTCTATGATTGGCTGCGTTTGTGTGATTTTTGTCATGTCGAAGTACTTATTTTAGGTATAATGTTAGTCTCTATATGCATGTTTCTCGGCATATGTAATATATCCTCAGCGTACCAATATTTTGGTCAACTAAAAACTAATACTATCATACTTTGCCCTATAGCACAACTAGATATTTAAATGTTATATATTATATTTAATTATTACTGTTCTGAATTATAATTCTCCTGTAGGGCTATGATAACATAATTGAGAATTCCTTACAATCTTTGTTGTTTTCGAGATTTTATTGATAAGCATATCATATTGGATGAAAGACATATGGAAGCCCTTGGGAAGACCCCTTTTCACAACTTCCTCCGAATACTCACCTCCCTAAGCAATGAGCAAGTGACAATTGATTGCTTGATTCAAAAATTTAATCCCGATAAATGCTCATTTATGTTTGGGAATAAAGATTACGTGTTTGGTATAGAGGATGTGCATCGAATTATCGGTTTGACAGATGGAATTCCGATAAATATTAGTATACCCAATTTGTAAAGAACTATAAGACACCCAAGGAGAAGAAGGATAGTAGGAGTGAGGGCAAGAAAAAAGTCGATGAGGAAATGAAGGGGGCATTTTGGGGAAGCGCATAGAATGACTGAGTTGATTGTAGGTATGGCCAAAAAAGACCATATAACTTGTGTGAAAGTTATTGTGGCCTTTATTATCGACTTCATATTATGTCCGCAAACATGTAGGACATGTCTTTTGTGGGCGTTTAGATATGCACAATATTTGTCCATTTTGGAGAATTATAACTGGTGTCATGCAGTGTTTACTTTTATTTGCAAAGAGATGAAGAAGGCAAAGAGGTCCATTAATATGAGCAGATTGGGAGAACGGTTGTATGTTGATTACATGGGTGGTTTTTCCTCTGTATTGCTGGTGAGTGACATTAAAGTTACATTGCTTAATTTTTCTTCTTTACAGTGATTATTTTTTTATGCGCATGCTAATGTATATTTTTTCAGGTTTGGTTTTATGAATTGATGGGAAAACTAGAATGTACTTCAAACATTGAGGGCTTACCAATGCTCTTTTGTGTTAAGAATACCGAAAAATTTAGGAGGACTATCATGAATGAACAAATTGTTTAGAGATCCGAAATGTCTTATGGATATTGGTCAAGAGAATACTCCTCTCATTCATAGGATATCGCCACACGTATTTGTATATATCTTTACTCTAATAGATTATTATTTTTATGTCCTTTTCTTTTTTTAGTATTTTTATCTGTAACTATATTATGAGTAATACTTGTGTATTTTTTGTGTTATAAGTATCAAGAAAAGCTGAATTGATCACATCAGTTGCTAAGAAGATGTATGAGTTGAATGAGCTTACTACGGAATTACAAGAATTAGAAGAGCATGGTGCTAGAGGCATAAATAAAAACAAAGAGGAAGAGGATAAGAAAAATAAAAATGGAGACAATAAAAAGCAAAGAGGATAAGGAAGCTGATGATTATGAGAAAGAGGAAGAGAAAGAGGTAGAGGATAATGAAAATGAAAAAGAGAAAAATATTGAAGAAAAAAGAGATACAAAAGATAAAGTAGAGGAGCAAAGTGCTGTAGAGGGGGATAACACTGATGGGGTGGGAGAGGATGACAACTTTTGTGACTTTCTAATAAGTCCAAGAAAATTGGAAATTTTAAAGTAAGCTGATACTGATGAGAACTTTGTGATGAGCCCAAGAGAAAGAAAAATTTTAGAAGAAGCTCGGTGAGTTTGGATTTTTCTATTCTTTTTAAGTTTTACTTTGTTTACTTTTTGTACAATACTTGACTATATCTTTGTTAACTATATGCATTTCAACTCTACAGGGAGGTTTGTCCACAAGATGAAGGCGACAACGATAATAAGAGGGACACCCTATCCATCAAACGGGTTATGAGAAAGACGAAGAGGAAGGATGGACCTTCTGTTAGTTCACCTTACTTGCGTCTAGATTAGCCCAAAGAAGGTACAAAGAAGAAATGCGTCATCCAGATCATGGATAGTCCTAAGGGGGCTATAAAAAGAAGTGCATAAATAGAGAAGGCTTTATGTCTAAATCTCACAATTATCCAGGAAATACACTGGTTTATGAGGACAAACTAATAGATGACTTTCAACAATTGAAAATGACCAGGTAATTACTAGTGATTATTCTAATAATAAATCTTTAACCCGTCTTATACTTAGTTACTATTTCTCACTACGTACTTGTATATAGTGATACATTCATTTGGAAGTGCGTCGAAGCAAGTGTATCTGGCTTAGATGCTTATAAATTTTTAACAGGAGGTGAACTCAGTGACAATGCAGATGCTAAATTGTGTTATAGTTATGTTTATGCTGTATATATTTAATGAGAACTTTAGTTACTATTTCTCACTCCGTACTTGTATATAGTGATACATTCATTTGGAAGTGCGCCGAAGCAAGTGTATCTGGCTTAGATGCTTATAAATTTTTAACAGGAGGTGAACTCAGTGACAATGCAGGTGCTAAATTGTGTTATAGTCATGTTTATGCTGTATATATTTAATGAGAACTTTTGTAGGCGATCGAAGTTGTTATAACCCCTGAAATACTAAATATTAATCTCCATAGGGAAATCGACATGTGTCTTACACTCCGTTTAACCAAACTACTTTTAAACCAGGATAACATCCGACTCGGCACGACTGACTTGATTGGTCGACATCTCGTGTAACCTTGCCATTGACGACAACTACATGTGCGGTCCTCCATATTGACTTCAACATATGGGCAATCCATAACTTGATACAAATTTAACGTAGAAGGCATAACAGAAAGACAATGAGCGCATTCATTAACTAGGGTGAGTTTTTCCTCTATACTAGGAACAAGCGTTGTAGTTCATTTGCTTGATTCCTCACGTCTATCATAGCTCATTTTTAACATTTGTACCTGTATGAGATCAAGAAGGTCCACTATTTGTAAGAAACGAGCTTTCTTAATCCACGCAATGAAGGACTCAGCTAGGTTAGATGTTAACCAACCATATCTGTAAAAAGTAGACAACATTATTAGAACATAATATATCACTTAGTTATAGAAATATTCTAATATTGTGTTCAAATATTCAAGTAATGTGATTGAAATTACTCCATTATAAGTGAAAACAAAAGAATCTATTTTAACAATAGTTAGTTACATATTACCTCTTCCCGGGAAAAGAACAATTAGCCCAATTCTCTGGGCTCATCTTCAGCATTTTATTGTAAGCGATTTCTAATTTTTTTTTTTCTATAGCTCGTTGCATTCAATATGATAAGTTTGTGACATGTATGCATAAGCAGCTTTCTTTATAATTTGCACATATACATCCCTTAGAGGTGCTGCAAGCCCTTTCTTTGAAAGATTATTCTTGAAATTAGCCATCAAATGACGGATGCAATATGAATGATATGACCAAGGAAAATAATTCTTAACAGAGTTTTGAAGGCCTTTGTCACAGTCAAAGATAATAACCAACTCATCACCAGAGTATATGATTCCTCTGCGTTAAATAGGATGTCTCATATGCATTCTAAAAACCACTCCCAATTGCTTTCATTCTCATTCCCACTGTTGATGGTTTATATGATCACACAGTCAGTTGCATCTAGGATAGGACATGGTTGATGATGATTGATGAGGGGCCGCTTTCTTTCCTGACTTTATGTCCGGTTCTTGAGTTGGGTGGTCAGGATCTGCACATGAAGAAACACATAAGAGGGCGGAGATTGGTTCCTCCGTGGTTCCTCCGACGGTCAAGTTAGCTGATAAACTTGAGTGAGGAAAAAAAAGAACAGAGTGAGTTCTTATTGTGCAGTATGATCTGCCTAGGGATCAGATTTGTGAACCTTTTTCCCAAATGAAAGAAAAGTCCTCCTCCAAGTTGAAATAGTACATGTATTTATATCTAAGGTATGAGGGTAGATTGGTTACTTCGACCGAGCACAGAAGGGCAGTGGCGAAGTGTGGGATGGCTGTTGGGTTAGCCTCCGCTTGACAGGTGTCAGTTGGCGATTGGAGGAGAGATCACTTCGGTAATGAATGAGAAGTGACCGGCGGCGTGACAGAGTATAGGCTGAACAGCTGAGTCAGCCTCCGCTTGATAGGTGTCGACTGGCGACTGGAGGAGAGATCACTTCAGTAATGAATGGGAAGTGATCGGCGGCGTGGCAGAGCCTACGTGGTCCGATGAGCCATGAAGGCTATCGAGGCCAGAGGCATAATGCGCCGGACATGCATTAAATGCGACGCTGACACGTCATCAAAGAGGATAAGCTTGAAGAAGCAGATGTCCTTTGCCTTCGACGAGAAGTAACGTCTTTAGAGTCGATTTTGGAAGGCGTTTGGCAAATGGTTGAGAGGACTCGTAGGGAGTCATCTTCAACAAAAGGGGGACGACACGTACCGCCTTACGAGTCGACATGAAGGAATGTTGAGTCGTCGAGTCGGCGGAGTGGTCATCCTTGCTAGTCCATGGCTGCCAAGTTGATTGGGGCCTAGCATGTAGAAGCACTCGTCTGTTGCTTGGCAATGAGTTTGCACTTTAGCGAATGAGAACACCATAACACCCACAAATATAAATAGCTACTAGAAACATCCCTCCATCTCCATTAAGACTAGTAGCTGCAAGAAGAGTATCTCTGTATCTATCCAAAAGGTGGATGCCATCCAAAAATAAAATAGGCTGGCATCCATCCATGACAGCCTTCCAACAAGCATAGTAGGGCTGAGCATGGTTCGGTCCAAACCGAAAAAACCGACCGAACCGACCCGGAAAATTCGGTTTTATGAGTAGGGCGGTTCGAGTCGGTTTGAAAACTTTTCAACCCGAACCGACCCGAATCGACCGAATATAGTGCAATACTACCCATTCTGATCTCAAACTCTACCCGACCCGTCCCCAAAGAGTCAAAGACTCAAACCCTAAACTTATTTTTTGAATCATTATGAGTTGTAAACAATATCATTATATCAGTGTTTAATGCTTCATAATCTCCTACTTTGTTGATATCTTTTTTTCTTCTGTAATACAGTTTGTTTGATAAGAAGTTTGATGAAGTTATAACCGAACAAACCGAACCGAACCGACTTGCAACAGTTCGGTTCGGTTTTGAATTATAGGCGGTTCGGTTGTTTAAATTTTGATAAAAACCGAACCGAACCGACCGTTGCACACTCCTAAAGCATAGTACATGATGAATAGCCTAGTAAACCTTCCATCCTCATGCTCCTAATAAAAGACTGATCTCGTGTTTGTTTCCATGACTTTCTCCTTTTACCATCTAAGTAGGTTGTTTGAGTGTTGTGCCAATCCATGCAAATATCGTTGAGCGATTTTCCTCCCCTACCAAATTCTATGATACGAGATTTCCACACCAAGTTTCCGATGAAGCTTCTTTTTAAGATCAATTGTGCAGTAGGTGGGTTGATATTTCAATGTTGATTTTACTTGATTAGCTGCCTACTTCCGAGATGTCCGGTGATGACCCTTCTCCCGTATGCCTCCACCAAGGCAACTATGTGCACCACCAATTTTTTTTAACATAGAACCACTTACTATGTACTCTTCTAATACAATTAACCTACCATTCACAGTTTAGAGCATTGCATCTCACACTCACTCTGCTCGGTTCATTCTTCGAGAAGATATAGTCGAAACCTAGTGCAATGAAATAGTTTCTTAAGCTTTGCCTCAAGTGTTCAATATTAAATTCTTAACCAACACTTCTAATTGCATGATACCATGAGATAGGAATCCGACGACTTGAACTTTCAACTTCTTGCAATGCATTATGTGAAATAGATGGATTCTGTGATGATAAAGCATGTTGTTCTACTAGTGGGTTGGTAGGATTTTTGCATAGGATTAGGCATTGAATTACAACATATCAAATTAAGTTCTTAAAATAGAAAAATATGCATAATTTAGTAACTTTTTATGCTTTTGAGTAGTTATTTTACACATTAATTATATTTCACGTTTATTTGGAAAACTTTTATCTTATACCTATCGTACTTGGTTGTTGCCCAAATAAAATCTCTCTTTCTAAACCAACATGCATCTTGACAATTTTCTCGCTGCAGCCGTTATGTACATTCAGCATTGTAAAAACATCAATATCATCAATAACACAAACTAATAGTTCGGAATGGGGGATTTTATAACTCAGTTGTAATGTGCTTCCACAACAATTAGCTCTACTTTGCACTTGATTTACTAAATCATTGTATTTTCCCTTATCATTCAATGAAATCAAGATTATTTCCTCTGAAGTCGGTTAACAGACAATAATACTCTTCATCCATCTTTGTTCGTCATTAAAGAACAAAGGTAAATTTATAAAATACATCAAGATTCGACATTACAAAAATTTTAAAGAAATGCATATAAAGATGAATGAAGAGAATTGAATCACTTCCTCCAAAGAGATAAATGTACGAATTCAATTTTACATCTAAAAAAAATAAAATCATTGTTTTCCTTTCTAACAAAATTTCAATCAAAGGCATGAGCTATTTTCAAAAAAATCAGCTCTTTCACCTAAAAACAGAGCTATTCTAAACGAAAAAGAGTATCTAACCTTAATTCTTCACAAAACTCGTGGATCTTGCACTTCAGAGCATGATTTTTCAATGATTACAAGCAACAATGTCTTCTTCCTCTTTATTCTTCAAACACCAAATCATATCTCAACCACTATATCATAATTCTATTAAATAAGACATACGAGGGAAGGGAGAAATGATATTAATGGAGATGAGAGAATATGAGAGAACAATGAAGAAGAAAGCAATTTGTGTGTGTGTGTGTGTGTGTGGGGGGGGGGG